CCCACGCCCTTGCAAGAGACAGAACATTCTGAAGTCATACTGACAGAAACAGATGGAGTCTGCTCATCTTCATGAACAGGAGCCTAGGGCAATGAAGAATAAAAGCTGATCTGCTAGAGGCAGGAGACCCTTCTCTGTCTAACTCCATAGTACCAAAGGTTGAACTGTCTGACCCGAGAGAGGAGAGGAACCCAAATCCAGGAGAATCACTTACTGGACCTATGAATCCTTAGATAATTGCCCTGTTCATACCCTCTGAAGCACCTGGCATTGGCCCCTTCAGAAGACAGGATACAGCTATGCTGTTAGGTGTCAAGCAAAACACTGATTTTACAGAATTTTACATTAAGTTGTAGAAATAATATTTATTATTCAATGTTTGTATGTAACACTTATCTACGAATAAATGTTTATTTTTTTCTATCATTGTCATATAAATTTTTAACAACTAACTAAATTGTCTGTCTTTGGAATAACCAAATGAATTTCCAACAACTTTCAGAAAGAAAACATAAAATGAACACTGTCAGGATAATTAATATACTTTTTTTTTTTACTGTTAAATAATTTAATGATGAAAAAAATAAGTTTTCAATGTTTGTGTACTTCCTTGTACTTTACTCATTTGGCCATCAGAAATAAATTGGTCAGTTTCAATTTCTAATTCTCCAGCCCGAATACATTCCTGCAAGATGTGGCTTTTAAATACTGGTATTTAAATCCAAACAAAATCTCTTTTTAACCCTATTTCATATTTTTTTAATTTTCCAAGTAGCTACAAAAAAACCTCCTCCTACCACAGACACACACACACTTTGCTATCTCATATATAATCTGTCAGAATTTTATTTGGGTTTCCAAAAGATTTCACATCTGCAGGCTTTCATCTGCAGGTTCCTCTGAGTAGCTCTTGCAATAGCTGAGCTACTCAGAGGTTGTGCCATGTTTGTCTTTCTTCCACAGGACAGAAGCGACTTTGTCTGTACAAAGTGCAAGCTGGTCTCCATATTGGAAGAGAAGGTTCGAGGTCTGGAGAAACGAGTATCGACTCTGCGTTGCATAAGGGAAAATGAAGATTTCCTGGACAGACGTCAGGAGATGCTTCTATGGCCACAATGCTCTGAAGATTCAGAGCAGACGCGGCAGGGACAGACGGATGAAGAAGAAGTTTGGCAGCATGTGACCTCCAGAAGGAGAAAGAGGAGCGTCCATGTACCAGCAATGGAGATACAGGTGAGCAATCGTTTCCATGTTCTCTCTACAGGTACTAATGCGGAGAGTGGAGTAGATGACCCATCTGAGGGAAGGGAGCAGAAGGAGACTCCACCGATTGGAAGGCAAAAGATGCATTGTCCTAGGAATGGGGGTTCCACAACCACCACTCCCAAGAGGAGGAGGAGGGTTGTGGTGGTCGGGGACTCCCTCCTCAGGGGGACTGAGTCATCTATCTGCCGGCCCGTCCGGGAAAACCGAGAGGTCTGCTGCTTGCCAGGAGCTAGGATACAAGATGTGACGGAGAGACTGCCGAGACTCATCAAGCCCTTGGATCACTACCCCTTCCTGCTTCTCCACGTGGGCACCAATGATACTGCCAAGAATGACCTTGAGCGGATCACTGCAGACTACGTGGCTCTGGGAAGAAGGATAAAGGAGTTTGAGGTGCAAGTGGTGTTCTTGTCCATCCTCCCTGTGCAAGGAAAAGGCCTGGGTAGAGACAGTCGAATCGTGGAAGTCAACGAATGGCTACGCAGGTGGTGTCGAAGAGAAGGCTTTGGATTCTTCGACCATGGGATGGTGTTCCAAGAAGGAGGAGTGCTGGGCAGGGACGGGCTCCACCTAACGAAGAGAGGGAAGAGCATCTTTGCCAGCAGGCTGGCTAACCTAGTGAGGAGGGCTTTAAACTAGGTTCACCGGGGGAAGGAGACCAAAGCCCTGAGGTAAGTGAGGAAATGGGATCCTGGAAGGAAGCACAAGCAGGAGAGCGCAAGAGGGGAGGACTCCTGTCTCATACTGAGAAAGAGGGACGATCGATGAGTTATCTTAAGTGCCTATACACAAATGCAAGAAGCCTGGGAAACAAGCAGGGAGAACTGGAAGTCCTGGCACAGTCAGGGAACTATGATGCGATTGGAATAACAGAGACTTGGTGGGATAACTCACATGACTGGAGTACTATCATGGATGGATATAAACTGTTCAGGAAGGACAGGCAGGGCAGAAAAGGTGGGGGAGTTGCATTGTATGTAAGAGAGGAGTATGACTGCTCAGAGCTCCGGTATGAAACTGCAGAAAAACCTGAGTGTCTCTGGATAAAGTTGAGAAGTGTGAGCAACAAGGGTGATGTCGTGGTTGGAGTCTGCTATAGACCACCAGACCAGGGGGATGAGGTGGACGAGGCTTTCTTCTGGCAACTAGAAGAAGTTGCTAGATCGCAGGCCCTGGTTCTCATGGGAGACTTTAATCACCCTGATATCTGCTGGGAGAGCAATACAGCGGTGCACAGACAATCCAGGAAGTGTAGGGGACAATTTCCTGGTGCAAGTGTTGGAGGAACCAACTAGGGGCAGAGCTTTTCTTGACCTGCTGCTCACAAACAGGGAAGAATTAGTAGGGGAAGCAAAAGTGGATGGGAACCTGGGAGGCAGTGACCATGAGATGGTCGAGTTCAGGATCCTGACACAAGGAAGAAAGGAGAGCAGCAGAATACGGACCTTGGACTTCAGAAAAGCAGACTGACTCCCTCAGGGAACAGATGGGCAAGATCCCCTGGGAGAATAACATGAAGGGCAAAGGGGTCCAGGAGAGCTGGCTGTATTTTAAAGAATCCTTATTGTGGTTCTAGGAACAAACCATCCCGATGTGTAGAAAGAATAGTAAATATGGCAGGCGACCAGCTTGGCTAAACAGTGAAATCCTTGCTGATCTTAAACGCAAAAAAGAAGCTTACAAGAAGTGGAAGATTGGACAAATGACCAGGGAGGAGTATAAAAATATTGCCAGGCATGCAGGAGTGAAATCAGGAAGGCCAAATCACACTTGGAGTTGCAGCTAGCAAGAGATGTTAAGAGTAACAAGAAGGGTTTCTTCAGGTATGTTAGCAACAAGAAGAAAGTCAAGGAAAGTGTGGACCCCTTACTGAATGAGGGAGGCAACCTAGTGACCGAGGATGTGGAAAAAGCTAATGTACTCAATGATTTTTTTGCCTCTGTCTTCACAAACAAGGTCAGCTCCCAGACTGCTGCACTGGGCAGCACAATATGGGGAGAAGGTGACCAGCCCTCTGTGGAGAAAGAAGTGGTTCGGGACTATTTAGAAAAACTGGAGGTGCACAAGTCCATGGGGCCGGATGCGCTGCATCCGAGGGTGCTAAAGGAGTTGGCGGATGAGATTGGAGAGACATTAGCCATTATTTTTGAAAACTCATGGCGATCGGGGGAGGTCCCGGATGACTGGAAAAAGGCTAATGTAGTGCCCATCTTTAAAAAAGGGAAGGAGGAGGATCCGGGGAACTACAGGCCAGTCAGCCTCACCTCAGTCCCTGGAAAAATCATGGAGCAGGTCCTCAAGGAATCAATTATGAAACACTTAGAGGAGAGGAAAGTGATCAGGAACAGTCAGCATGGATTCACCAAGGGGAGGTCGTGCCTGACTAACCTAATTGCCTTCTATGATGAGATAACTGACTCTGTGGATGAGGGGAAAGCAGTGGATGTGTTATTCCTTGACTTTAGCAAAGCTTTTGATACGGTCTCCCACAGTATTCTTGCTGCCAAGTTAAAGAAGTATGGGCTGGATGAACGGACTGTAAGGTGGTTAGAAATCTGGCTAGATCGTCGGGCTCAACGGGTAGTGATCAATGGCTCCATGTCTAGTTGGCAGCCAGTTTCAAGCGGAGTGCCCCAAGGGTCGGTCCTGGGGGCGGTTTTGTTTAATATCTTTATTAATGATCTGGAGGATGGAATGGACTGCACTCTCAGCAAGTTTGCCGATGACACTAAACTAGGAGGCGTGGTAGATACACTAGAGGGTAGGGATCGGATACAGAGGGACCTAGACAAATTAGAGGATTGGGGCAAAAGAAACCTGATGAGGTTCAACAAGGACAAGTGCAGAGTCCTGCACTTAGGACGGAAGAATCCCATGCACAGCTACAGACTAGGGACCGAATGGCTAGGTAGCAGTTCTGCAGAAAAGGACCTAGGGGTCACAGTGGACGAGAAGCTGGATATGAGTCAACAGTGTGCTCTTGTTGCCAAGAAGGCTAACGGCATTTTGGGCTGTATAAGTAGGGGCATTACCAGCAGATCGAGGGACGTGATCGTTCCCCTTTATTCGACATTGGTGAGGCCTCATCTGGAGTACTGTGTCCAGTTTTGGGCCCCACACTGCAAGAAGGATGTGGAAAAATTGGAAAGAGTCCAGCGGAGGGCAACAAAAATGATTAGGGGTCTGGAGTGCATGACTTATGAGGAGAGGCTGAGGGAACTGGGATTGTTTAGTCTCCAGAAGAGAAGAATGAGGGGGGATTTGATAGCAGCCTACAATTACCTGAAGGGGGGTTCCAAAGAGGATGGAACTCGGCTGTTCTCAATGGTGGCAGATGACAGAACAAGGAGCAATGGTCTCAAGTTGCAGTGGGGGAGGTCTAGGTTGGATATTAGGAAACACTATTTCACTAGGAGGGTGGTGAAGCACTGGAATGCGTTACCTAGGGAGGTGGTGGAGTCTCCTTCCTTGGAGGTTTTTAAGGCCCGGCTTGACAAAGCCCTGGCTGGGATGATTTAGTTGGGAATTGGTCCTGCTTTGAGCAGGGGGTTGGACTAGATGACCTCCTGAGGTCCCTTCCAACCCTGATATTCTATGATTCTATGATCTGTCACTGAGAGTAAACATGGCAAATTTCAGCTCATAGGTTCTGGACATAAATTAATAGTGTGCCCCTTTAAGTAAAGCCATAAGGGATATACACACAAAATAATTCAAGAAGGAACTTAACTTACTTTGGGCTGTTTAATTAAGTCGACCAAGTCCTTTACCTGGTGTCGTAACAGATTTTGACATTTCCACATTTCATTTAATGCTCTGAAGTGAAAAAAAAAATTAGTTGACAGAAGCTGCTACTCATTAACATGCCTGTAAACCTATAATATACCAAGTGACTTCAACTCCCATTGACTTCAATGAAACTTGAGGCGCTGAGCATTTTCCAGGGCTTACTAAACTAGACACAAGTTCAAACTATAAATAAAATTGTTTCCCCTGTGGTATGACATTTAATTGCTTGTCTTTTATTTTAAAGGTTCTGCTAGTATACCTGTAGAGTTTAACTTCCGATTATTTCACCTTTAAAAAGGGGGTGCAAGTCATATGTCTCCTCTACAAAGAGTTCTTATTTGAACAAGTCTGAGTTCAGTGTCCTAAATACGTTGAAACATGGTAGGTTACAGCAGATAACACTTAAAAGTCCATTAGTTTAAAGCAGTATCTTTCTACCAGCTGCCTTTTTTTATTTGCAGGAGCAGCAATTTGACAAAGAAGAGACCAGACTGGAAGTCTAAGAAGAATCTTAGAAACATTATATAAAGGAACAAAATCAAACCCCTCCCCCAAAGGCAAATAACCTATATTTTTAAAAATCCTCTAATCTCAGCATCATTTTGAAAAAACAAAAACCACCAAATTTTACACAGTCCATTGTTGATAAAAATACATTTTTTAAACTTTTAAAATATACTAAGGTATAGTTTTAAAATATGTATTGCTACAGCTTTATGAACCTCTACAGAAAAACAACAGTAGCAAAAGCAGAATGAAGATTTTTTTGTCATTTGTTATTTTGCCCAAAATAAATACTGGAAAAGCAATTCTTTCTACTCTTAAGATAGCTATTTATTTATTTCACTGCAACAGTTTTAAGGACATCTATGCCACAATATTTCAACTTAAACCATGTAACAGTTCTTACAGTAATGCTAAAGAAAACATCTTTAAGCTTTTTTCTTTTTAAAATTGTTCTTGACCAAGTTAAATACATGCTACAGCAATGCACCACTATTAAAAGATCATGACAAGTGTGGAGGCCTTAGCCAACAACTTACACAGCCCTTAAAAGCTTTCATTCGGAAATAATTATGTTTCTGTCCCTTAGAGTGGCAAAAATAATCTACCAAATGTAAACCAAATAGTATATATATTTTTCCTGAGTTTGCAGGCATAGAGCTCCACTGTTACTGTAATGCTCATAGCACTGTCAAACAGGAGCACAGTGAAATTAACAACACTCTTGGTCAGCTTCTGAACCCTGGAGGCAGCAGTGAAACTATCAAAAATCATGTCATGCTTCTGCTTGGGAGAGCGATGAACAGCAGCAGACGCAAGCTCTGCAGTTACCAAAAACAGGTGCTACGGGGAAAGGGTTGAACAACAGACTACTTTCTTCACTCTCCCCTTTGAGCAGCCAGGAGACTGAAGGCAGGGTAGAATAATGGAGACCAAGCTGCCAAATATGATCCAGAAACAGCACCCCTACTTCCCCATTTCCAGCAGCTATAAAGGATATAGTGCTCTTGCTTCTTACCAGGGATTTGCTCCTGGGCACATCTTTCATATCTATTTATAATTAGTGGGTTTAGTCATCTGGTTAGTAGGTGTGTCATAAATTTTTCAAGCCCTGAATTAATATATATATATATAAATAATAAGACATTTTAGCGCCATATGTTTATTGATAATTTATTAAAAGGATTTATCCACTATGGCCTGAACCATCTACAGTTTTTCCAACATTTATGCAAAGCAGTGGTAATACTTTGTACTAATACAGTGCTTTACAAAGGAATATCATTTTTACAAATGAAGAAGCTCTGGCACAAAGACGTTAGATGACTTGCCTAAGATCACTTAGTTGGAGGCAGAGACTGGTCTAGAACCCAGGCCTCCTAATTCCCCATTTAGTGCTGACTCCCAAGACAGACCTATGCAGCTCCACCCAGGTTTATTAGGATCTCTATATTAAATATTCTCTATAAAGTAACCCTGTCACACCTCTTAGTGCTGCAAAGGTAAAATATATTCAAGTTCACATTTATTATAGGAAACATACTTCACAGCATTTGAGTCCAGTGTTGCATAAAGGTAATATAAACATTTCATTCGTTCATTTGTTTCCAAATTGTGAGGGACCATATATTGAGCAAAGATGCGTTCAACAAGCAATCTGAAAGAGAATATTAAGAAGGAATTTTAGCTATAAAGTGGCAAGGTGGTTCTAAATTCAAATTACTAAAACATTAATTTAAAAATTCTCAGAACAACAGAATCAGTGGTAGGTTTACACAAGAAAATGGATGCTGTTGAGAAATCTGAAAACAAGCCACTTAATTCCCATTAATGGTCTCAAGTAGAACTTGATCACAACAGAGCTAAAAGTTATAATAACCCTACTATCAGAGTCTGACACAAAAAAGACTATGCTTACTAGACTCACGTGTATTGGAATTTGGGTATGAATCAAAGTATGTAGAGATTATTTTAGATCAGAAAACTGGAATTAGTAGACTTTTTCCAAGTGAGGGAGTTTAGAGTATGAAAGCTTTTACCTCATGGGTAAAGTCCTTTTAGGGTCATCTGACATTGCATGTGTTTGATTCTACTGTATTTATTTTTAAAGTTTATATGTCTCTACAGATTTGTTGATATGTGCAATGCATAAATCAAAAGAATAAATTAATAAAGCAAACAACTTTTTGAACACTAACATCGGCTGAGTGAGAAACATAAAAACTATAGTAATTCTACTCCATTGAAGCAATACTTCTGAGTTTAAAAAAATGGAACACAACTTGGCAGTGTCCATTTAAGAACACAAGTTGACCTATAAAATAAATAATTTATTTATTTATTTGTTTAATTATTTTTTCCTTTTATCATCATTTAACAATCAGAAAATAAATACAAGTTAGAAAGCTAGGCAACCTGTATATAACAAGTCTCTAATCTTCAAAACCTAGTAAACTGACCTACCGGTCATCAATACTGTTTTGATAATATATATGCAGCAGTTTGTCCTTGATCCATGAAATTTGTTTTGCAGCTTCTTTCCCCGCTTCTGACTGTAATGAATATTTCTTGTATATCTGGGCAAGTCCCATCATAGCTTCTTTTCTCACTCTCCACTAAAAAATAATATCGCAGTTTTAAAACTCAAAATAAACAATTTTTAAAAATTATGTTAAAAGAAAAAATCTCTTGGCAAATAAATATTTCCTTTTTCCTTAAAAAACCGAAATAGCGATTCTAACTTGTTTAAAAAAAAATGTTTACTGCATTTTATTAAATTTACTAAAAAAAAATTTATATTTATCATTATATCTGCAACTACCAACATTTTCATCACCGTTCATAGCTAGCATGTCAATAAAACTAATCTGAGTAAGCAGCAAACCCTCTGGACTTTAATGGGTAATATTTCTAATATTAAAATATTTTTTTCTTCAGGGAACTATACTGAATACCTACCATTATTTTATGGCTGCATAGGGGGAAAGCGTGTCACCAAATGAGAAAAATAAAATCAGAAAATGACAATGTGATTGGTAAAGTTTGCCCTCAGCTTGCTTGCTGTTAATGTTATTTAGAATACATGAAAACAGGTTTAAAGTTTACTGGATAATGAAATATGGTTAACTGGAATTTCAAAAATGCACAAGTTTGGAAATTAGTGAATTTGCTCAGTCTTCCAAGGTTCTAATTAAAAATGAGCAACTTGACAGGCTGAGGATGATTGAATATTTTTCACTTTAATCCACAATAAATTTTGAATTCTGTGTTCCATATTTTTCAAAAAATATTTCAATATCTTGGAAGGATTTCATTTTTATTTACAAATACTAATATAACAAAGACAACAAATGATACAGAAAATACCATTAAAATAGTTATAAGACCTACACTGAACACAATCCACAGTACTACAATGCACGACTATGGTTTGATTTTTGTTCTCTAGGTATGAGCTGGCAGGGACAGAGCACTACGGAAACAGGACATTCAGGCCCTAGGGCAAGAGAATGCCTCATTGTTTAGCAGTGACTATTCCAGCTAAGTATAAAGGACCACCAATAATTTCTCCAAAAGGAATCCTGCCAAGTTTTCCTCAGCTGGAAGGATAATGATTACACAATGGTAACGTGATGTTTAAAATGGGATATTTCTCAGGGCTGAATGAGTGACACCCATTATCCCATGCCCTAGGACAGGAGTGGCCAACCTGTGGCTCCGGAGCCACATGCGGCTCTTCAGAAGTTAATATGCGGCCCCTTGTATAAGCACCATACCGGGGCCAGAGCTACAGGTGCCAACTTGCCAATGTGCTAGGGGGTGCTCACTGCTCAAACCCTGGCTCTGCCATGGGCCCTGCCCCCACTCCACCCCTTCCCACTCCCTCCCCTGAGCCTGCAGTGCCCTCACTTCTCCCTCCCTCCAGAGCCTCCTGCATGCCACAAAACAGCTGATCGGGAGGTGCAGGGACGGAGGGGAAGGTGCTGACTGGCAGGGCTGCTGGTGGGTGGGAGGTGCTGGGAGTGGGGGGAGCGGATATGGGGCTGCTGACATATTACTGTGGCTCTTTGGCAATGTACATTGCTAAATTCTGGCTCCTTCTCCGGTTCAGTTGGCCACCCCTGCCCTAAGAGGAGGAGAAGAAAGTGGACTAAAGTGAACACTCTATTATGCTATGATGCAATACTCCAAAGAATGCAGTTTGTCTACCTGTCTTTGACAAAGACATATACGATGGTGTTACCAGATATTTCACCAATAATCTTTCAATGACAAGTTATTTTTCTCTTCGGTTTTAACATTTTTTTACCATTAGACTTCAAAATACTTTAAAAACTGAAAATTTGAGATGAATAAACTTTAAACTATCAACAGCAAATGTTTTTGTATTTAATAGTTTTTATAATCTGTTCAAATGAAAGTTTTTAATTCGGGTGTTTTTAAAAAGGAAGGTTATTTCTTATCTAAAAACAGAACGCTAAATTTATTACAAGATATTTGAGACTAACACAATTAATCATTATTAGAACTAATCTACGTCTTACCCGTTTGTCCAGTGTTCTCTCTCTCACAAAATTAAGCAGGGGATCATTTACAAGCAAAAGATCTTTTTTAGCAGCAGTAACTATGGATACAATAACATCATGCCTAATGGCTTCTTCAGGGTCATGTGACCTTACTTTAAGGTATTCTGAAAGAAAAATACTATCATTAAAATGAAATATTTATGCAGCTTTAACTGTGTTTAATTCCCTAGAGACTACTTAAAGAAATAGGATTAAAGTCAGCCATATTTTACACTATTTCAAACATCAAGTATAAAGTCACTGAATTCTTCATAAAATTAGATGATCTGCCAGTTATTTAGCAAACTTTTGTTACTTAGAGTACAGTATATCTAACAATTATTCCACTATTAGTCTCTCAGCTCCCATCTATAATTAGAAGTTTTTTATTTTTGTTAATAGTTAATTCAGTCAGATGTGGAGATTAAGATTTTCTTTCCCAGACTACTTCATGGTATCCCTAACTGGTAACTATTTCCTCTGCCTGATCACCAATATTTTAAAAACAATACAAGGCGGGAAAAAAGCTCAGAATCAGTAATAAAATACATAACCTTTTTGCCAGTACAGTAATTTAATCAAATTTGTACAAAACTGATAGGTGACGAGAAGTCATTGCATCTTGATCACTGTTCAACTCATTTTTCTTTGATCACTGATCATCGCAAACAACAACCATTAATACTACTGGCAGCAAGCCGTGGTGCCACAGACAATGTCCAGAAATAATGAAGTCCTGACTTGCATTTAAAGAGGCTTTGAAATTTGAAAGCTATACCTACCAGGGTGTGTGGTTTTGCCTTTTTTTTAATTATTAATTATTATTATTATTATTATTATTATTAAAGTATAATTTGGCTAAAGTGATATTTTCTAAAAGAATTCACCTAGAGGACACAGTAATGAAAACAGTTTTAAAGTTTACTGAATAATGACACAGTATTCAAAAAAAGTTCTCATCCACAGTTATAAAGGTTGAAACTTAAATATATTTTTCAATGACACAAACTTAATTCCGTGGAAAAAAAGTAATACAAGTCCACTATTCTCCTCCATATCTCAAAGTGTTCCACAGTGTAAGCCAGAAAGTCTAGTACCAGACATGAAAGCAGGCAAAAGTCAACTCAACCACACTTCCAGAACAACAGAAGGAATACAATTAACCTTTTGTTTAGTAAAAGATTGAAAATAATGCGCTGACATTTTAGGTGAAAGATTTCCTCAGCTATATTTGTGTTATTTTGCTCTGCTTATCTGAAACACTTCATACTATATTCTGTGAAGATCATGGAGGCAGTGGTGATTAGGTAGTTATTAATTACTGAAAATACAAGAGTAATCTGGTCCAAAATCTTAAATTCATCTTTGCTCATATTTATCAGCTTTTCCATTTTTCATTCACTGTAAAAATCTACTTAACCAGCACATTTCAAAACTGCATTTTTCACAAATGTTGCAAAGCCACAATAGTAACCAGATACCTAATTCTGCTATTACCCTTGAAAACAAGATAAAAAATCCTGAAGAATATTAATAATAATAAAAAAACCTGGTACCTGTTAAATCTTTTGCTAGATCTGGATGGTTCATAAGGCAGTGGCTAGCAAATTTCACACATTCAAGCCGGATAGGTACATGGATATCATTAAACCTGTTTTAGGAACAAACACTGTATTTAATAAATCAAGATGTATGTGTAACTCAACATTATTTTATTTCATTTCCATCAAAGCACTGTGCCTATTTCTATATACAAAGCACTGAAATAGTGATAGTCCAAGACTTATCTTAAACTCAGAGAGAGAGACTCTCACATTTTCACTTAAGAGTAACACCTTCCCACTTCCTGTCCTCTTGTATCATGCAACCTTGTGTACATACAATTAAGTTCTATGTCTCTGATTCTATTTCTAAGGCCTGCAGATTCAGTTGATGAACTGATAACTAGGATTAGACTAGAAGGTTTTGGGACATAGGACAAAGTGTTCCAGGAACAACTATCTGCTTTTACATTTAGCTAGGCAGCATGAAGCAACCTAACTTAAGTGAACACAAAATAGATGTAGCTGCTTTCTAGCCCTTTTTTCTTTTCCAACTATGTCTATGCTTCTCATGTATGGATGCATGAATAAAATAGATGTCCTTAATTTTACATTGATAATTTGATTGGTCTTGCAAAGTCTCATTTAAAAAGGAAACTTGGAAATATTTCCTATATAAACACAGTTAATTTATTTGCCCTTTACTAATGGAAATATCTTCCCCTAATGAACACGAAAAACTCCCACAAACACAAATGACAGTTACTTATGGGTAGCAGACATTGGTTAAAAAAATAGATGGTCCACTGTCAATCATTTCCATAAACATCAAGTATTTAAATAGTAATATGAAGAATCACATGAGTTTCACTAAAAAAAATTAGTTTCCTAAATTGTCAATCCCAAACAACCTATTTCTCTTTGAACTGAATAACGTAAGGCAACATTAATAGGCTTGTATATGCATCAAATGTAACCTAAAAGGAATCTGTTTAAAGACGGACCACTTTAAAAGTACAGATGCTCCCCAAGTTACGTAAACCGGACATACGCAAATCCAAGCTTACGGAAAAAGGTCCGTAAACTAGAAATCGGAGAGTTAGGAGTTGTTTTTTTTTGGCGTAATGGTCGGAGATATGTTTCTGATTTACGCAAAATTCAAGTTAGGCAAGGTGTTCCGGAATGGAACACTTGCGTAAGTCAGGAAGCGTCTGTAGATAAAACTTAAAAAAAACAAACAGTCTCGACAGAAGTGTCTGAACATTTGAAAATACAAAATCTAGTCTTGTTTGATTTTGATTGGCATTGTCCTATAGAACTATCCAACTTTAAATTACTACTTTGTAATATGATCAAATACAAATTTATTACAAGATACTATACAAAAGGAAATCTTTTGAAAAAGATCAAATGCCTTTTACAAAAGGAATTCTCTGGAAAAAAATCAAATCTTTAAATTTTCAAAATCTCTAAACTAAAATTATCTAAATTAAATAAATTTAAATTTCCAAATCTTTAAAAATATAAATTCAAGATTGTGACAACACAGCTCAAATGTCAATTAACAGCATATATGAAGAACTTTTGGTACAATAAAGATGACATTTGAATGAAATAAAGCTATACAATAAAAAGATTCAGCACATAATTTAGAAAATAGAAATATAGAATTACACTATATTTTAATGAAAATGGATTTATACAAGGATTTATTACAAAATGTAAATTTACTGGTTACTTATTTTTTCAAATGTTTAAAAGTTTCAATAAAACAAATATTGAGTCTTCAAATTCGTAACCTTCTTAAAACAGCCACTGTGATTAGTTGATGACAGAGAAATAACACATCTTCATTACTATTTTACTTTACAATGAAGTATTTTTTGCTAGGCCCAATTAGCATCTAGTATTTTTTAAAATATAGTATGAAAATATGTTTGATAGTGTCTTCAAAAACAATTTCAGGCAAAAACACTTCTACATTTAAATTTTCTAAAATTTTTATCGGTAGAAAATTTCCCTGAATACTGATATTTTATTTTAATATGATGTAATATTATTTGCAGTATAAACTATTGCCCACTTGCATTAATTTACAGGGATTGGCACTGACCCAACATCAGGTACGCTTTCACTACAGTCTTTATACCAATATTTTTAAACACAGCAATTATTATTCAGTAAGATACAATGTAGTATAAGCATACAGTATATAAAGTCTCAGGATCTTTTAAATATAGTCTGATACTATCAATGCCATCTGATGTTATTTTAAAAGTTATAAACTCATTCATAGTTTTATATATAATAAATAAATATATAATATTTACAATATTAAAATTATATAAGTAAAGGAACAGGCTGGTTTATAATTATTAGCTCTATAGAATCACAGATGTAATATCTTTAATATTATCTGTGTCATATTTCAGAGCAAGCAGTAGAATAGAATTCTTACTTATCCATAGATTATACTTATTTTAAATAAAGGAAATTTGTAAAATGTTGAATTATACTTCATTGTTTATCCCTGCGGGAAGGGAACTAAAACAGTGTATACCTCCCCAAGTAGCACTGCCAAAGTGGTTTGTTTTGAGATGCCAACTCTGAATCCTTTGCCCCAAACATTTTTGCTAGTAGTTTTACAACCTGCAGGCGTTCTTCATTGTCATTGCTCTGGAAAATGAACACATTTTTCAAAAATAAAAACTGTATAAATGACTTTTACATATTTATCTTACATTACATACATTTATCTTCAGACAAATTAAAATGCAGATTAAAATATACAGTTCTGGTATAAAGCAATCTGTGTTTCAGAGAGATAAAAGACTATTAATCATGGAAATGAAGAAATTAGTATTGAAATTAAGGAAGTTCAAATAAAGATGCAATGTAGAGTGCCCCAATAATACAAACCTGTTGAAAGAATACCAGGCTTATGTACATTATTTCAACCCTCATTAACAGTTTGCTAATATTTTTATCTGTATTTGTTAAAAACAGTAAAAGAGTTAGGCATACTTATACAACCAAACTTAGGCAGATAATGAATGAGATAAAATGCAACATTAAAACACAATTTAGAATACTGTCTGCAACTATAATATAAAAATGTTCTGCATATCTCCTACTGTTGATATAATGAGAACCTTAGCAAGGAGTAAGGTTCACTGCCCCTAAGATTTTATGGAGTCATCACTGAAAGCTCTTCAGCAAAATTTTCAAAAGAAACTAGTGATATAATGCCTCAAATTTTTGGGTGCCCAACTTGAGACATCTTGAGGCCTCATGTTCAGAAAATGATGAGCAACAAACTTAAAAAAAAAAAAATCAGGCCACTTTAAAATGATATCTCAAAACTTGGGTCCCCCAAATTGAGGCACCCAAACACACTGGTTACTTTTAAAAATTTAGGCTTTCATAATTCAACACTTCCCAAAACTACACCACTTCCTAAAACTATGCTTTTAGTTGGAAATTAAATGTGCTCCTACACAGTTCAAAATTATATTCTCGCTAAATATTCTAGTACTAATTTTCATTTCCACCTGCTTGAAGTACAGAACATATCCTTTAAGTTGAAAATATACTGTAGAGATGTTGTCACATTTGTTAGCTTTCCATACGTTTGTAATTCACCACACAATGACATGCATATTTTTGCATAAAATAAGAAAACATGAAAAAGTTCTCCCATGGCTACACTCGCAGTTTAATGCTGCTTCTTTGCCCCTCCACAGTCATTAGCTGGGCACTCCTGGCTCCTCCCACTCTCCAGTCTCCTTCCTGCTGGTATAATACAAGGGAACTGTTGAGGCAAGAAGGTACTGTTCCACTATCATAGACATCCCTACCATATCGGTCCAACCGTTTGCCTCCTATGGAGTTAGCTTCTATCATCAAGAAATAAGGGCAAGGTGGTCTTCGTTAACATTGCCTAATCTGACTTGGTGCCTTGCTGTGGCTGGTTCAATACATTCTACATACCAATGGTTACTGTGTGGGGAAAGCACAGAAAGCTGGGCTTGCCCCAACTTGAATGGTGTCTCCTACTTCCAGCAATACCATTTTAAAGGAGTTCTGGCCACTATCAAATGTCCCAATCTGTTGGTAGGCACTACTACACTCTCCAGCAGTGGCCACTAATGTCACCCCCAGCTACTCAGGAACAGGTTGAAAATGTTCGCTGTACATTTATTTTCACAGAATTTTCAAAATCTGAAAATATTTCACATATTTACAGTGAACATGCTCAGTTCTGCAATGTAACCATAGTTTAAGAAATAGCCATATCCAAAATATGTTGCTCATATAAATACTGGGCATTTCACGTGAAAATGGAGACAACCCTTAGCTTGAATACTGTATTTATCTGGTAACAGAACAATTAAATATATTTTACTTCTAAAATTAACCAATAAATTCCCTGGTTATGATTCTGCTTTAGTATTAGCAAGAACTGGCAACAACAGTATGATTTTATTCTGTTACAACTGTGTATTTATCTGTCCATTTTTTCAGATGAGTGTTCCAGTTCCAAATTTGTCATTCTATTATGTGGTAATAAGGCAGATGGTGGCAATATTTTCAAGAAAACTATTTTTCAGTTTCTGCTCTTTTAATCAGTTTATAGGATTATTTGTCTGTCATTGGCTTCAACAAGTGCCAGGACTACAGCATCTTTTCCAAACTCATGCCAAGAATTTGTCTACTTGTGCGATTTCCTGCCTAACCACCTGGACAAAACAAACAAAAATCCAAAGGTCTGCACAGACTAGTACTATGTGCTACTTACAATTTATCTATTCTTATGTGTATATCTACTTTCCTTACAGGGAGAAAAGTCATGCATACCACCATACACTGAAGCATCACTCCTGATTATGCCATATAAATTTCAGAATCTGACTGACACTGGCAAGCCAGATGCCAGTTCTTACCAGGACTGGAGGCATTAGCTAAGAACTAACAAATTCATATCCGGAGAGCAGACCAGCTCAGCTGTATGTTAGGGCACGTCTTCACTACCCACCAGATCAGCGGGTAGCAATCGGTCTATCGGGGATCGACTTATCGCGTCTAGCGAAAACGCGATAAAAATCGATCCCTGATTGCTCTGCCGTCGACTCCGGAAATGCACCATGGCAAGAGGCGGCAGCGGAGTCGACGGCGGCGCGGCAGCGGTCGACTTGCCGCCGTCCTCACAGCCAGGTAAGTCGACCTAAAATACGCCACTTCAGCTACGCTATTCATGTAGCTGAAGTTGCGTATCTTAGGTCCACCCCCCGCCGTAGTGTAGATCTAGCCTCAGTTTTACTCAAAACAGGTATTAGTCTTATAAGAATGTATTTAGTGTTTAGACTATATGAAATGCCTGTAAGTTGCTACATGCTTTAGTCCCACGTTTAATGTCAGTATTCCATGCTATAAGAAAATATGTAAGTTTTGCTTTATAACTTTGAAAATGTTTGCTATTAACTTGTAAACTGAGGTACAGGAATCCCCCCCCCCCCCCCGCCCCATCCAGAAAGGCTATCAAAATCAAATGGGCCATCAAGGAACATCACAATACAAAGAATTGATTAATCGCCCTATTGCACCTTGGAAATGCTACATGCAAGGAAGCTCCTCACATGGGCTTGGAAGCTAAGTGAAGGAAATAAAACAAAGGCTATGGTTACAGTTGAGAACTTACAGTGGAACAGCTGTAACCAATACAGCTATGCCACTGTAAGCTCTCTAGTGTAGCTGCTCTAAGGCTATGTCTACACTATCACTTTTGTCAGTGTAAAAAACAGTTACTCTCCTTCTCGTAACTGTTGTTCTTCAAGATGTGTTGTTCATGTCCATTCCAATCAGGTGTGTGTGCGTGCGCACGTGCAC